AAACTCGAACTCACTCACCAGAGATTACTGGTGGGCCAGTAAGCCTTCTTCAAAGCGTTTGAGATCTCCGTAGCAGATCTGGCACGAGAGCAATCCAATCTAGCTTCGCCCATGGAATATTTGGTACAAGTACAGGGGTGGATATCTTCAGTGGGGCATTCCTGCTCCGTTACCACTCCAACAATCAGCGAAAAGATTGATAAGAAGAGAAGTTTGAATAACACAATCATCATTGGATTAGATGAAGAAGTTGGAATGAAATCAGAGGTTCTATTAGGATTGGGAAACTTCCTTTTCCCAAGATTTTGACATGGGGATCTACCTGAGGATGAGGAACAAGTTTGTTAAAATGGTTGGAACATTTTTTACCATATCAAATAAAATATACTTGACAAAGTGCACAGAAATGTTACGTGAGGATATTTAGAATACACGGCTAGCTGTTTAACATTAAATTTAGGCTCTTGGTCAAACTTATTGTTTGAGAATTCAGCATTAGCCTAACATTATCCAAGAATCAGTTTAATTAAAATATGATAGTATTGATATGATTTCAAATAGGCACTTTCACGGTGCCTAGATGGTTATAAGATGATGGAACCATATTTTTTACACCGTCAATCTCACTGCTACACGCATTGTGGCAGTATTTGGGAAACCTTCTTTGAGTATCAATAAATGCACTCATAAATTATAATGATACCTTTAGCGATGGCAATCAAATTTCTTCACACTAATTGTGTTAAAGAAGTGTATTGGAGTTTCAACATAGGAAAATGAATACTTCCAGAAAAAACTAATCTAGCACTACAACTTAAAGAGAGAAGGAAGGTCGTATAGTCTATTCGTCATAAAAAGGGACAAGCGGTCGAGGACAAAAAAGATTTGATGGATGGAGCTGTGAGAGGCAAGGAGTCAATTGGAGCAATGTATGTTTGACCTCTGGCAGGTTAAGGGGAGGTAAAGGTTTATGACACGTTTCAGTGTTGTCAGATGAAGGATAGCGCCTTGCAGTCAGCTGCGAGAGATTGAGAGGCATTGGGATCCTGCTTCACATGATTGAACTAAAATTAGCCGGCAACCCTGATATTCAAGAAAAATCCCTCCATTCACCATGCCTCATTAGATGCGCATATGTGATTATATGATATGAAATGACCGAGGCTCGTCTTTGGGCTGTCACAGTAAAGCCATAAGTGTGTCTTTTGAGGCCGAATAGACTATATACTCTTTCAATAATTCAGAGTTCAATAATTCAACGTAGAACAAGAATCTTATGATGATAAAGAATCTACTGATGCTTCAAAAACCAAAGAATTTTACGAATTCATCGGACGAGGAGAAAGAGAAAACATGAATCAAAACTGAAGCAATGAGAAGGGAGTGAATAAAACCATCACGCTTTCATATAATCTTCATGTTTCCTCCCTTTATTCTGCATTCCCCAAGTTTTCTTCATTGCCTGACAATACGACCTAAAAATTTCCTTTTTTAACACATTAATAAGGGCTTCTTTTTAACACATTTATTTTTCATTTTATAGAGAAAGATAGTATTTAATGGATGATGACTCCACCCTTTTTTCGTGTTAATTTGGTAGGAAAGGAGTATATATTATTCGAGTCAGGTATGCCAAATTTATTCTTACCAGAGCATATTGCAGACGTTCTTCATCTACCTTTCATATCGAGGACTATCTCTGGAGAAACTAAAAAATTATGGAGCTGCCTCAAACAATCTTAAGAATACTGTACCTTCCTGAATCAGAAAAGTAGGAGCAAGAAAGAAGAGATGCGGAAGGAAATACATATTTTTTAAGGAAAATAATTCGCATGTCGGACGCTTCCTCGTTACCCATTACCTATTTCTTAGCAACACATTCGAGAAATAAGTGAAAGGTTAACAACAGTGAAGGTTGTTTCAAACGCAACTTTGGGATTTCGAAATTTCGACTTCATTATTTCCTAATATGAATGTCACAAGTGGGAACAGTTTCGAACACGTTATAGGGATGTTCAAGGGGCCTATAGTTCGGCATATGCACCAGTTATCCCATAGTTGGACAGTATGATGTCCATGCCTGACATGAAATTAACAAGAAATGTTTAACGATATTTTCTTCCAGATGCTATATAAAACATCCTTACGCCATGTATACATGTATATAAGTAACGCGGTGGAAATACCCATGAGCCAATTTACAGGTACTCCAACTAATAAAAGGACCAAAATATAACATTTGCTGGGCTTGCAAATTGAACGAATTGAACGATGTCCACTGTTTTGACTTTTATTGAACTTTATTTCATGCAAACACAAGCTGACAACAATTTCTTCCATTACTTCTTGACGCTGACATCAATTCTTCCATTTCTTCCATTACATTACATTAACATTACTTGCACATAGCGCTCTCGAAGAATCCGTTTGCAACCTCAGGTAGTGAGAGCAGATAGTTGCTACACTTACTCTCAGGGGTAATAAACATGAATACCAAATCATTGAACTGCTGGAAACGAAATGCCAAATTGAGGTGCTATAGAGACTGTAGAGACTATGAAGATTATATCTTCAGGTTATCAAGTTCCCGTGGCTCTTGCTCATGCCGAGAGAGCAGGAGCATACTGTTCCTTCGTAACGTCCGCGGGTGAAGGAAAAAAACGTCAAGAGTGTAGGGATGGATTGTAGATTAACAAGAAACTAAGCAAGAAACACGGTGATTCTTTAATTCGCTAGTTTACCTGGTTGATCAGCTGGACCGCGGCTTAGCATGACGCAGGCTCACAAAACTCAGCTCAAAAGTCAACCGCTACCACACGAGCCGGCACTTGAACGGATACGAAGCCGCAGCTGAGCTGGATGTAAGAAATATCAGAAGGCTCGCCCAGTCTCAAGGCATGAAGGGAACAAAGAACGGGACAGACCTCCCCCTTCCAATTAAAGCAGTTCATGAATGTCCTTGGCTATTCATGGCAGCATCCCCTTCCTTTTCTGAAGAGGCATTATTCTCTATTACAATACTAGTACGTGGTGAATTCTATCATGCGACCTTCCACAGTTGGAGAAGTGTTCGGATAGTTCTTTACCCTATCCATTCACGCAAGAGAAAGGTCCTTCTTTACGTTGATGCTGCTGAGAAAGAAAACAGGAATTGAAAACTGCGGAAATGTGTGATATTTGAAACATCATAGTCATTGCGCTGTCCCTGTATCATCTGAGGTGCCCGCTCAATGTGATATTAAGTAATGTGGAAACGAATTTTCAATGGCTTTCCCATTCTTCAACCCCCCTCTCTTTCTTTACGGGACTCACTAACGTTAGGCCTAAGCCAAACCAGCATACTGCCCTCAGGTTACGCCATGACCTACCTTTTTATTTTCAAACTCAATTCTCGACCTACGGGCAATTAACCCCGTTAGGGTGAATCTGTGGTCTTCCAGACATCTCGCTTTGGACGTGTAAAGTTAGGCCAATCGCAGGCCTATTCATACTTTCACGAACCATTTCAGATAGTACGTGCAACGTAGACCGATTTGAGGACTGTGTCGTGTTTCATGAACCATTTTAGCGGGACGTGGAACGTTAGACCTCTCTGGAGTTCTTCAAGCCATCTCTGAGGAGAGAGCCAGGTCTGAGGAGAGAATGCCTCCAGGAAGCATGAAATCCACCATCCTGTTACTTCAGGGATGTCCGGATAAAATAGCTCCATATCACACTACATTCAACAATCGCTGCAAAGCACCGCATCATTCTCAGCTCATCTCATGAACTCACCCCCAGGAGTCACTCACCCACCCGGGGGTAGGGGGGACAGAAAAAGAAACGAAACGAAATTTACATCCAAAAAGCGAGATTCTGTGCTCTCCACAACTCCTGGGAGGTGGAGCTTCAAATTTTCAGGGGTGATTCTGTGTTGAGAGAGAAAGAAACATGTCCAATTTCGTTCCTGTTGATGCTCTCAGAGAGGAATACGAGGAGTTTAAATTTTGTTGCTTGAAAGGGTTGAATAAAGGTAATCCGCGCTGCCAAAGACCATTGATTGCATCTTGACGAAGTTGCCTCAGGGGAAACAGTAACCCAAGGCCCAAACGCTGAAGGTAATGACTGGCGGCTTAGCATAGTCAAGGTATCACATGCCTCGACCAAATGCATAAAACTACTGACCAATTTACGAGGAGGAACAGAACAATGATAATTTTGAAGCGCCAACCATACTGAATTTCAATCCTGATCAAAAGGGCACTCTCTCATTGCTTAAGAAGTAAATGAACACTTTTAAAGCAGGAAATTTTTTTCAAAACAAGCTAGGGAAACGTTTAGTCGTATTAAGTCAGTTATTATACAGTGTTTCATGTCATACTCTCTTAACTCTTCACTACACAGCATTTGCAATTGTGGAGCGGAATTAATCCTTCCAATTCACTCTTCCATTCTCCATTTCAACCGATTGTCACATTAGAGAAATCGTTTTCGAATTTTCGTCCGCGTATTTTTTGCTGCATGGTGGATGGTAAAAGAAAGCTTCAGCGGAGGATATATGAAGACTAATAATAAAAAAATTGTTTATCTCTAGGAAAAATTTATGTCCAGCAGGTAACTAACAAAGTTAGGCTTTCCATTTTTGCATTTGCAACCCTTTATATAAATCATATTAGATCCCTCGTCATGTATTTAGCCCCGGCCCAAACTCGGTTTTCTTTGTTCGCCTACTTGTAATACTTGCATCATCTCTTCCTTCAGTTTACGTCTCCCATCTTTAGACCCTGTCACTAGAAGAGTTCTTTCCAAAGAGAACGAGCAAAATGCTATAAATGCCCGATGTCAAAAAGTGAGGGCAGAATTTCTAAAGAACATTTTGGACGCAAGGACTTCGTCATACGAAAGGAAATGTGAACAATTATTATGCACAAATCTTGACAATTTCTATTCAATGACCTATTCGACTCGAGGGAAATTATATATTTTCTCATCATATTCGTGTCGAAAATACATTTTTGAACATGAAGGTGTTGAATATCCCCTCTTCATTTCCTTCATGCGTAAAAACAATTCCAGATCACACATAATTGTCATTGATTTGAAGTCATTTGCCTAATCTACTTAGACATCATCATGATTGCTGAAACATGCAACCTGCCAGCATAATTACTTTGATTCGAAATGGAATTATCCTTGTAAATGACGTCAGTTAGACATTTAAAACTGTGATTATTGAAAAAAGTTCACTGTCTACGTGAGATATTAAGAATCCAATCAAGAACTTACTTCAATCTAATGTGATTGGTTATATTATTCGTGTACTATGCGCTTAAAGCACTTCTACAATAATATTAACCCTTTCGTGCATGCATTTTTTAAGCAAAATAAAAATATTCCCTTTATGGTTTAACATTTAAGGAGGTACTCTGCCGTAGTAGTAGAATGTTCTACTGCTAGAAAGAGACACTGAACAGATTATGTGCCCTTCAGTTGACTGCACGCACCAAAAGTGTCGAGGTATGAGTACCATAGATGAAAACTCATAATTATCGCCGAAATTAACCAACCATCACCTTTTCCCACATCACTGAAATTGCTGGACAAGACACGAAGGAGGCTGCGAAACTAATAAACTCACATTTGTTCCAGCCCTGCAGGGCACTACCTTCCCTAAACGCATCCCAACTCCCTTCCTTTCTCCCTTCCTTTCCCCCCATTTGATGTCTGTTCCTGAGGTGTACCACGAGCTAAGGAAAACAGTCCTCCGTCCCAGGCTCTGATAATATCCCAACCTGAATCTACAAGGATTTCGCTGCTGAACTCGCAACACCCTCATGTGACATTTTCAATGCTTCCCTCCAAGCGGGAACAGTACCCTCTTTATGGAAAGAGGCTATCGTTGCCCCGATTCCAAAGAAAAGCCCTCCCTTGTCCTTGAACGATCTTCGCCCCCTTTCACTCACCTGTAACCCGTGCAAGATCCTGGAGAAAATTATCCTTCCACGGATGAACAAAACGATTTCCAAGCTTTATGGATCTCAATACGGAAACCACGGTAGAGATATCTCGACAAAGGATTACCTAGTTGACCTCCTCCACCAAGTCCATACACACGTCGACGCTGGACTTGCAGCATCTTGCGTACTTGTTGATTGCAGAAAGCTTTTGACACGGTATAGCATACTATTCTCCTGTGGAAAATATCCCTACTTGAGAGGGATGCTAGTATAATAACCTGGCTAGCGTCATTACTAAGCAAAAGATCCAAGCGTACACACAACAATGGGAACCTCTCTGATTCCCTCCCACTCACATGTGGCATCCCCTAAGGCACGGTGTTGGGCCCCTTACTATTCTTCGTAATGGTCAATGACGACGTGCAAGTTGGTGCCCAAGTTTTCAAGTACGCCGACGCCAAAACCATAACGGTGGCCCATCCCAACAACTCCATCCCCGATCTCCAGCCTGCCCTCTTACAACAAGAGGAATGGACCCATGCTAACAATATGAAACTTAACAAGAACAAGTCCACAGCGATACAGTTCTGCTTCACCATGTCCCTCCCCATCCATCATACCCTCCATATTACAGGCGAAAGAGACATGCATTCGCCTTTTGGGTATGTGGATACAGGACGACCTCCACAGGAACGCAAACATCAAGGCGATCGTAGCCAATGCATCAAGACGATTGTTGATACTCGAGATCTTACAGTCCTTTGGAGCGCCCCGTGGAGATTTACTTGCTGTTTGGTCCTCGTACATCGTCCCAGTGATAAAATACGCCTCCCCTGCCTGGAGCAACTCACTCACCACCAATTTGGCAAATTCAATTGGGCTAGTCCAGAAGCGCGCTTTTCGGCTCATCCTTGGGAGTGAATTTACGTCATATAAGGAGGCTCTATCTACTCTTCAGTTGTCATATCTAGTAGAGAAGCGAAAAAAGCTCACGTTAAAATATGCCCAGGCTCTGCTAGCCAACCGATCTCGTCGACATGTCTTGCCCCCCCTCTGACAGATGCCTTCAATGACCTTGCGACGTAATATTTCTCACCTCCTACTGGAATTCAAGTGCAAAACTCAACGCTTCCTCACATCAGCAGTCCCCTATATGACCCGCCTCTTAAATGGATCATCTACCTAACCCCACTTCACTTCACCTCTTATATCCTTGACTCAAAGATTTCGTAAATTCACCTCCAAAATGACGATGAATACCAATTTGCTTATTCACTAAGAGTCCTGATCTTCAATAAACCATTATTGTTATTATTCAATCCTGAAATGGCATCCTGAAATCCGGTGACAGTAAGGACTTTTAACCAACTTTTCTTTCTTCCAGGCAATTCGCTCTCATTGATAACACCGGTGTTCAGGAGCTCCCCGAAGGAGTCTTTAAAGATCTCTCCTTCCTAGAGATTTGGGTGAATTCCACAGCGTTGAAGAGGATTCATACTTCTGCTCTCTATCCATCCAAGGACACCATAGAGACTTTGAATGTTATATTCAGTCCGCTACAGGATTTCCCATTCCACCTTCTGCCCCATCTCTCCCGTCTCAAAGAACTTACGCTCTGGAACACTTCCTTGACCCAGGTCACTCCTATCCAGAGCGAGAGCCTCGAGGTGCTCCGCCTCGGGTTCAATTCCATCGAAATGGTGGAAGAAAATGGGTGGTCGACTCCAAATTTACGGGAACTCAACTTTGGTCAGTGAAAGCGATATTATGCTATATCTTGATTCAGGATTGCTTCAATTCGCTGGAAATTTCATATTCTTGGAAGCACTCTCTCACCTAATATATCCACGCCCAATAAATTCGCACATTCATGCATAAACCGTTGAGTACATAACTGATGGGAGAAATCGATGTCGGGAAAGACTTTGTACCTAAGGTATTCCAAGATCAGGTTACCATGTTGCCCTATTCTAACTTTAATTATAGCGTGAGTTCTTTGCAGCATAAGGATATTTAGAGAAACGTGATATTTCCCCCTCAATTTCATGATATCTTATCAGGGATAAAAAGGTGACCCCTTGAATTAGTAAAAATAGTGTCAATAGTTGCCCGGAAAAACCCTAAGATTGAATAGACTGCTGTACTCATAGTTCATTTCGAAAACTTATACCTGAGTACCTGGGTCCAACTAAATGTTACGGTATGACCGAATGGGATGCTTGCAATGTCCTTAATTGGCGAGATTAGTTATACCTTTCAGAACGGTTATCATATACTGACAAAGCTGATTTGTCATGCAGGTTACAATCCCCTAAGGAAGCTTCCCAGAGCCATGCTAAAAAGTCTGCAAAAACTTGAGGCGTTTGGATGCGCAGGATGCAATTTGGGACCGATTCTTCCAACCGGGATAATGGAATTCCGTAGCCCGGCCTTGAGGGTCCACAACGAGCACCTTTTGTTATATAGCTTTAATCTCGGCCCTCGGTAATGTCCATAGCGTCGTAGTGAGAACTTCCGCAAGTAGGACTCAAAGCTAACTAGTACCTCAATTAGTTACCACAAAAACCAGTGTATTCCTGTGGTATTTTCCTGTTTTTCGCCATTAGCATGTTTCTTAGACTCTCGCATAATTCCACAAGTTCAGATGGTCATTAGTGAATAATTCAGTGGCCCTCACTGTAGATGATACGTTGGTTATATTATTTCTCTCCCATAACAGCAGGTCTTGTCGTTCCAAGCATCATGCATAAATCTAATATATACCTGTATGTAGACGATGGTGACTGACTGACGCTAATTCTAACCATGTTCTAGAAGGATTAGAAATCTGAAACTTGGTACACATGTACCTTTTGGGATGCAGAGTTCAGAAAAAATACGACTTTGGAGGTACATGTCCTTGGGGTACACATTCTTTTGGGAAACGTTTTCCTTAAATATATTTTGAAAAAGGCGTATTTTCACGAATTTTCTGATCCAGCAAAACAAAGGGCGCATGTAAGGCAAAAACAATGGTAAATAAGTACCTGAGGGGTCAAGAAAAAAAAATACTTTTAATATATATTGACGATCGTGACTAACTGACGCTAATTCAAAAAAGGAAAACGTATAAGGCTGAAACTGAATCGCTTGGAGTTTCCTGAGTCTCCATTTCGGAGGAAAACAATTTTTTCACTAAAACCCATCAGGGCTCTTTTTTTTTTAAGTCCCATTTTCCAGATTTTTTTATCTAACAAAACAAAGATAGAATATGTAAACTTCCCTCAGAAGTACCTGTTTAATGGCTGAGTTCAGGAAAAACCCTTCTTTTGAAATATGTCTCCTTAGCGTAGACTATTGCAGGGAAGTATTTCAAAATGTATTTTCCACCCTTACTAAAAGGGACACAAGAAAAATTTTCAAGTTAGGCACACATAGAATCATAGAAGAAAAGAGTTTGATAAAGGTCAAGACCCCATATGTCACGTATTTCAATGGGGACGTATTTTAAATACATGTTTCCCATTTTGAAAAAAATGAATGAATTAATCACTATCCAAGGTAATTCAGCGCTAAAGCAAATTCAGCTAGTACAGCTATACTGTGTCATCAGGTTTCCTCCATCAAGTTGCGCAAAAATCGCGCGACGTGACTCGGACACTGTTCAGTGGGCAACGAGAGCAACATATGCACTATGTAAATAAATAAAAAAAGTTTTGATTGCATAATGAAAGACAACAGTCTTGATGAAACTGACAGTTATGAGCAAAAGCACGGGGTAGTAATAGAAACTTAGGCATAGATTGCAACTAGGAAGAAATTCTAACATTCGCGTTGTATCTACGGGGTACATTTCAGCGCATTATTGGATTTCGTTCTAGGTCTAACACCCGACACAACAGTTAAACTTGGCTACAACAGGATCACTAATCTTGTCGAGGAAATCTTCCGACCTTTACTTGAGGTCATTTCGCAGGGAGATGGAGTCCTTTATCTTGAGGGTGAGTTTATATATTCCCAATCTAAATTGAATAAGTGAGAAGAGTAATTGTCCTTCCTTGGCATTCTTACCGATCACTGTATTTGAATTTCCTACTTTCCAGGTAATCCTCTCCATTGTGGTTGCAGTTTTTTTTGGTTGCCATTCTCTCATGAATTACTATTAGACCTCAGAGGGAAATGTGAGAATGGAGGTGACTTGAAGCATCTGGGTCAAATGCTACTCTCAAGAAATTGTCAACGATGTCCATACGCATGTGTCTCTGCAGAGCACAAGCCTCACTGCAAATCAGGATCAGTAATTCCTGCCGACGAAAGTAGTTGTCAGACAGGGAAATTGTGTTGTCAATTAGAGGTGACAATATCTACGAAACCTCCAGGCAAGGTAACGTTAACGTCAGTAAGAGCGCCGACGACAGAAGCAACAACGACAACACCGACCACAAGTGTAACATCGACAAGAGCAACAACAAGAGCAACAACGACAAGAGCAACAACGACAAGAGCAACTACGACCAGCGCAACGACCAAAGCAACAACTCCACAAACAATAAGAACACTATTATCAGAAGCACCAGCGACAAAAGCACGTACCACTGCAGCCGTAACAACAGCTGCAACGACGACAATAGTAGTAACAAATACGCAAAGTCAATTGTGTCCCACATCCCTCGGTTATAAATGTGTAGAAGAAAATTTCCAGGTCCTATGCGAGGAAGGCACTGTCATACGCCATACCTGCCTTGCGAACACTGAAGTCTGTTGCCTGGTATCCATCGTCGGAAGCCAGGTGACCCCTCCCAGTCTTATCCAGAAGGAAGAATGCCCATCTACCCATGTCTGTCTTGAACCTAAACCAGCTAATGACTTGTGCTTTCCGGGAACGGAAATTCAAAATGCAAAATGTAATGGAAATCGAATCTGCTGCTTCATTCAAACCTCCTCCTCGACACCTTCTCCATTGATGCCTTGTCTTGAGCAATGCGTCACCGAAGCCAAGATGGATTCCTGTGTGCCTGAGACAATCAAAACCGAATCGAAATGCGAAGAAATGGGAAGTATCTGTTGTAAAGTACGTATTGTACTTGAAGCAATTACTGTACCCGACGAAAACCGATCAGAACATTCATCAGCAACTGGAGACGCTCAAAGTTGTGACCATCCCATCGGTAGTTGCATAAAAACGAATCTGTGGTCTAAGTGCTGGGGGAATGATCTGTTGGATTTGACTGACCGTTTTCGATGCCACGATAATCTCAGTTGTTGTGCCTGGAGGACTGAAATCGAGAAGGTACAGCAAAAAACGAACTCTCCTGGGGGTGTTGTTTACCATTAAGAAAACTCAAAAAAATATTCCGCCCCATCTGGTAGAGGGAAAACAGGTTTCCAAAGTACACCACGTCTATGAAGATGGATTGTAATATTTTATCAGCCTAATACTTAATACAGATGTCGGGATTTTTTTTCAAGGTTTTTATTTTTTAAGAAGCTACTTTCTTGGACTGTTTTTACTTATTGCATATCTTTCAAAAGTATTCGACAGTAAAAGTCAGACTCCAGCGCGTATTGCGAGAATCAAAATGTGGTTTCCCTACACTGGAGTTTCAAAACTCCACGCGTTCCTTAAAGAGGTTCGGTAACTCATCTAAGGAAATGGAGTCATACGGAAATCGTCTTATCTTATCGCAGCCAAACCAAAATCAACCAGACACCATATATGCCTGTATGATGTACATTCCTTACAGATAACTATCCAACTCTTGCAGATGATTGAACTTACCGCCAGATGCAGTGTAGTCTTGTTGCACCTTGATTGGAATAAGACACGGATCTAGGAAAATATAAGCGGGAAATACAGAATTTGTTTATAATGTCTAATGAAGTCAATTTTGTACTTAAATGATGATGTTTGTCTGAATTTACATTTTAAATTGAATCACATTCGAAATATACAGGTAAATTTTTTTTTAAATTTAAATTGTTCAGCTTCATGGTAAATCTTGCTTGAGATTGTCAAGGAAAAACACCTGTGAACCTTATGGCTTTCTGAGTAACCAAATGAATCGACCGTGATTCAAAAGAGCCTTGACAGATCTACCAATTGATAGTTATAGCGTCAGATCATCAGCTTTTGACGGAGAAAACAAACAGAAGAGCCAATCAACTACAAGGCGACAGAGATATTAAATACTTTTATAAAGGGAACTCTGATGTATTTCCCTGAGATTCAGAAGTGAGGAATGTCGTACGAAGAGCTAAGATACGAAAGAGTGGTCGAATTTGGGCAGGTCGGGTAATTCGGCACACCATACAATATACATACAGTATTTTAACGATAACAGAGAGAACAGACTTTCAGACGATAGCATGTGGATGGCCTATCCTACAAAGAGACTCCTCCATATCAAGATAGCTCGTATTTTAAAATGCCTCGAAAATTTTGCTTTTCATCTACTGTTCTGACAATATCAACCATTTCCTTGTGAAAACCTCTCCTTAATCGATGTTGCTATTCACATGTCAGTCTTATACCTGTGTATTCACCTAATTATGCTATGCTGTGAAATATGTCCAATATTGATACGAGGGTCACTCAATAAGTTATCTACCTGAATAAGAAAGAAACATCCGAGGGGAAAAATAAAACTTTATACTGTATTTCACCTTTTAACTCAACATACTTATTGCACTTTGATTCCAAGGATTTAATTCCCTGGGAATAGAAGTCAACTTCTTGTCCATCAAACCAATCAGAAACGGCAACTTTCAGCTCTTCATTGCATGAAAAACTCTTTCCCCGCAAAAATTTTTTTAAGTGTCTGAACAGAAAATAGTCACTAGGAGCTAGATCCGGGCTGTAGGGAGGATGGTTGAGCTCCTGAAAGCCACACTCCCTCACTGCTGCCTGAACTTTCCATGATTTGTGGACGGGCGCTTTGTCACGGAGAAGGACCCCCTTGACAACTTTCCTCTGCGTATTTCCTTGATGGCATCATGTAAATTTTTCATGGTGGTAGCATCGCAGTGATTGTACACTCGTCTGGCATGAACTCAAGCAGCAGTAGTCCCTTGCTGTCCCAAAACACAGTGGCCATAATCTTTCCTGCAGATTTCTGAACACGAAATTTGCGAAAACGTCGCATCTCTGAAGCGTGTCCTCACGAAGGAATGGGAGAAGATCCCACAGGATATGCTACGCGCTGTGGTGGATGCATTCCCAAGGAGATTGACTGCCTGTGTCCGATTTAAAGGGGGCCACATTGAGTGAAAAGTAGCATATAGAAGTCTAAAGATGTTGTTTGTCACGTTTGTTTAATTTGTTTTTGCAAAACTTTTTTGTGCTTCAGAAAAATGTAAAAATCTGAAGTCAACGAACTTTTTGACCACCCTGTATTCTGGACAAAAAGTTTCCCCGATTTGTTTAGAAAACTTCAAGTTTTCCTTGCAGATGTCAGATCTGTTCTTCTTCCGAGCTGGAGTCAGCATTCTTGGGACCCATCGAGAACTGACTTTGGACATGTGTAATTTTTCATGAATAATGTGAATCACTGTGCCCTCTGAAATCCCTAGTTCATGAGCTAAAACAGAGCCTTTGGTGCGACGATCCTCCAGTATTGCACTCTCCAATTTGTCACACATTTCCTGATCAGAAGCCTTCATAGGGGCCCCCGACCTTGGGTCATCTTCAATTGACTCTTCCCCACTTAAACTGCTTGCTCCAAAATTTAACTTGGTCTAAAGAAGGCGAAGACACACCATAAACGTTAGACATACGTTTATGAATCTCCTTAGGTGCTTTCCCTTCTTTGGTGAAGAATTTCATCACTTAACGATGTTCAACTTTCGTCAAATCCATGACAGACTCAGGAAAAGAAATCTAAGGCACTACCACTTTGAACGGACTTGAGCCACTGAGCTGGTATAGTGGTGGGGCACTCATGAGACCTGTCGAGACATGGCACAGCAGGCACAGGCCTGTTGCTCATCCCTTTCATATTCAGGTAGATACCTTATTGAGTGGCCCTCGTACTTATTGTTCACATGTTCCCATCTATTATGAATTCAATGGGTTATTTAGGCATACTTAACTCTTCCGGTGTTCACCCGAATCGTTATCCCGCAGGCAAGCACTCAGGTGCATCATGAGTACGTACTCGGGATGACGCCGAAAGGGTTAAGTATGTCTAAATTAAGTAATAAATTAAGTTATTCAAATTTTACAGTCTGTAAAAGCATTAACTTAAAATTTTTCAATTCTTAGCTCATGCCTATGGTCCCTATTCCCTATATTCTTTTCCCGAGCAAGATTGCTTTAAAAAGTTAATTACAGCACATAACCTATGGCCGTTAGGTGCCCGAATTCGACTAATTTCCCATAAATCTCCAGGCCAATCCAGAAGGCTTATGCATTCATTTTGCTTGGTCAACTGAATTCAGTCTTCTGTTTCAGTCTTCAATATTCTAATCCTACCCAATGTTTATATAAACTGAAGAGATCAATGCCTAAAGCAGTCACCCATGTACTCCAGACCATAACATCGCGATACTCAATGACAGAGAGTGCTAACCAGTCTTCCGCTGTCTCCTTCCCCAATCAAAGTAAGGCTTTCAACGGCCAAGACAACTAACGTATCCCTTTATACAAGTGGTGAATGACGTTCCTGGCCAGCATATAGGAGGAATCGGCAACTACGTTATTTAGGATAAGGCGTATGGACATTAAGTGTAAGAGCAGTTGCACACCCTCCCTTACAAAACACGGGTTTTAAATTGTTGTCTCATTCTTCTATACCAACTGCACCGATAGCCTTTGCACGACACATCCGAACGCCATCGGAATCGAATAAACCGATGACACGGGGATCAGGGAATCGATTAGATGAGGATTAGCCTTCACCAGCTATGCAGCGTAATGCAGCGTCTTCATGACTGGTGGATCTCAGCAAACCTACCTCTTAATTCAGAGAAAAAAAGCCAAGTCCTCCTTATTCCCAATGAAGGATTCAAGTCTCCTGGAACTCAAGAATCGCGAAATACGTTGAAGAGGGGAAGAGGTCATGCCTCATAGAAACATATTTAGAAATAACAACTGAGGATCAACTCAAACGAAAATGTTCCTTCAGTTCATGGGACCTGCCTGTCCTTTGGGTGTCAATTCACTCAAAGACTCTTCCTAATCACCTCATTGAATCACCACGCTCATCGCTGTATGCATTCAGGAACTTCACTTATGAAAAGGCTGCATATACAGGCTTCATTTGAAAGAATACTGTAAATTCAACATAATGTTTCTAAAAAATGTTTGCGTACCTCTCGGAACATCTCTACTGATCTAGAGGGATACATTGGAAAAATAGATGAAGATGGATAGATACTATAGATATTAAAATCATCCTCTTTCCTCCTATGAATGGCACTAGTGTAAAAGCCAATGCACGCACGGGACGAAAGAAGTTGAAAACAAATATATAATTATATTAAATTCAGCTGCTCAATATACAATTATGGCTTTTACAACCCAGAGTTTGTGTTGAACAATGTAAAGATGCATTACAAATAGGGTGGAAATTTTCATGAGTTTCAGATTTCCCAATATATTTGTCTTGCACGATTTCCCATGGCAAAGGCACGCTTCGCCACCCAGTGTTCTTGCACAGAATGCCTTTCATTATGAACTGTTTCACCCGAAAATGTGTTTCTCCGCAAATCTGCGAGGGTCTCTTCGCATCCCCCCTCTTGGGGCAAATACGTCATCAGGGAACTGGAGTTCTCTAGCTAAGAGGCCTAAGCTGGCCGGCCATGTCCGCACAACACGATCCGTGGCTCGGAGCAGCAAAGCTCGGTCGAAGATCACGTTCCCAGTCGGGTGCTGGTCACGATTCCCATCGGGCCGATCCAGTATCAGCTCCCAAAAATCGACCGGTGGAGGCCTCCGATGCGCAGAAAGACAGGAGAGTCTGTAGAATCCACGTTCGCAGGGTACGTTTTTGACTTTCGACCCAATAAGTATCGCCTTCAGGTCCTCAGCTTTCGAGTGACACCTCAATTATTAAAATCCGTTAATTCGTCATGGAGGAGTTTACCAGAATGACAGATTGACACACGCGTTAACCTCTTATGTATATGAATGCTAATATAAAATCCCGCGCGGGCTTCAATGGCTGAAATAAGTGCCGGAATAAGAACATTTCGTGCAGGAGTTCCTGTTCTTTCTTCGTCCGTTTCATTATCCCTGGAAGCATCCTGCGAAGCAGCGTTTTATTAAGGACGTCATGCACGCATATCCACTGATTGAGACTCTACAAGTTCTTTCTTTCTCTCACGTTCAGTAGATCCCGCCACAGCATTGTTGAAATTTCCCCCCTTTTTACGCACATTTTGAGAACGCCAATATGCAAGAATAATAATATTTGCGCACCAACTTGACGCTGAAAACATACTCGAAGGTCACACGTGATGATTGCCACAGCAAAATTGGGGAAGATTTTGAGCTCGGCCGGGATGCAGATCGACCCGATAGGACCGATCTGACGCGTTCATCGGGCATGTAGCGAGATTGACAATGTAGTTTTCGGTCGGGTGCGAGGGAATGTGCCATTTGAGAATTCGAGTTCTGAAACTCAAAGGACAAAGCAGGCTGAGCACCGGTTCGTTCGGCAATCAAATATCAGGTCGATTGCAGGTCATGAAGTGTGAGCGCTTCTCAAGAAAGCGTTCGGTATCGTGCTATTCTTATTGGCCGAAAAGTGGCCTCATTACATGAAAATGGGACGATATTTTGGCCCATTTCATCCAGGAAGTATCGCCTCCGGTCATACGCTTACGATTCACATCTCACTCGTGGAAATCCCTTCATCTGTCTATGAGGAGTTTCCCCGGAATGACACACTGACACAGACAGTTTATCCTACTATGTATATTCCTCTGGATGAGAGATGGCCGGGCATCGATTTCACACAAGCCATCCCTATGAAATATGTTTTCCGGCAAATAGGAAGTTAATAAGAAATTCAGATTTCCGATATAAACGTCTTTCACGGTTGTCCATGCCAAAGACACGCTTCGCAAACCCTGTCTGCTTGCACAGAATGTCCTTCATTCGGAACCGTTACACGCGAAACTGCGTTTCTGCGCAGATCAGCGAGGGTCCTTCATCCCCCCCCTCCTTGGGGCAAAAACGTCATCAAAGACCTGGAGTTCTGAAACTTAGAGCTCTATGCGGGTTCCGGGCCGGCCATGTCAGCACAATACGATCCACAGGAAAGCTCGGTCGACGATCGCGTTCCGGGTCGGGTGCGAGGCCACGATTAGAATCAGCCTGATTCAGTTTCAACTCGGAAAAGTGAACCCGTGTAGGCCTCTGACGCGCAGAAAGACAGGAGAACCAGTAGAAACGACATTCGCAGCGTATTTGTTGGACTTTTGACCCAAAAAGTATCGCCTCCAGGACATGAGCTTTCGATTGACACTTCAATTATTAAAAATCCGTTCATCCGTCTAGGAGGAGTTTCCCGGAATGACGAACATTTTAGCCTCTTATGTATATTGGATGGATGGAAGGATGGATAGGAAAATAGACCTGCCTATTTTCCTATCGTTTCACTCGAAACACGAGAGAAATTGATGTTTGAAAGAAAGTCACATGAAATTTGGAAGGAAACTTCCGAAAGTTCTGCGAAATTGACCTTGAAAGTTACGAATTATTTATAAAGTATAAATTGTTGTATGAAACATTAAGAGAAAAAGATTAGAAGTTTTCTGCTGCCATCCCCAAGTTATTTTTCCTCTGACGTCTCATGTCCAGAAGTAACATGACATCACAATGAACATGATTCAAAATGTGTTTAGATTTATTAGCTTTTGAAAAACATATATAACCGAAAATATAAGCTCACGATACAGCAATGGTTATTGACGTACGTATGTAGTTGAGCGCCGAAGGTGTGAAGATTGTTCGAAGGACAAATCTCACATCCAAAGTAACTACAGCGTTCAACCCAGGTTAAACGGGGTTTTGGAACTTGCAATGTTCACGGATGAACAGCTTTTCGGCATTATTTAAGGTACCGTTTGATCGCCAGTATCCAATTCTACATGACGATACGGAAGGACATACAAGAAGTAAAGTCCAAAGGTTTTTATCTCAAGCACTAATGTTCTATTTGATAGGGGCATAAAGGCAGTAATCTGAAAAGGGCCGAAAAACACAAGTTGGTAATACCGAAGGGAGATAACGCATGAGTCGACGCTATAGTGGGTCAGTGCCTAATACAGATGAAATAAGACCCCCGGTATTTTTCCGGCGGTATTCAAACTTTCCCCAAAGATACTTTAGAGAAAGACATGTATCCGTCAACACATATTATATGCAATAAATATTCACGCTCCAAATTTCACTTTCCCATAATATCAATCGTTCCACTGAGGTAAAAAAAAACTGAAAGCGTGACCGCGAGAATTCTTCCACGGGATATACTCCTACCTCAGGAGCAGGGTTTCTCCCGAACTATGTGCCCTTAATATTA